TAGGGGAAGTTGTTCTTTTCACTCTTTTTTATACACACTTCATGCACTTGGACATGCAAACAGGGAGAGAGATGGTGGAGTTACTGATGCTGTATTAATGTTTATGTAGCAGGTTAATGTTTGTAGTTGGTTGAGGAGGGTATCATTTTACTTTAGAACTTCTTTATACATTATTTTATGTAATATATGTATATTCCCTCTGAACTGTAGTGAAGCAAAGTGTAACATAGCTTGAAATGAAACTAATCGAGTAAAGTTGAAGTAAATGTAGGCTAAGGATTTGTTCAGGTGGTAGGTGTATTCTAAAGGTAGATTATTGTATCATTATATCACAGCGTAAATTTGACCTCTAAAAACATGTAGGTGAAACAGAGACAATACCCAGACAGTGTTCACCGCCGCCTGTGTTGTTACACTCCAGGCCAGCAGGCGGCAGTAATGCCCCGCATGCTTCAATATGTCAGCCGCCAAAACGCTCATTACACAGAAGAAATATTTTTTTTTCGGAAGAAGATCCCTACAAAGCGGCCCTATTTCTTTTCAGACAGAAAAAGTCGAAGAATCCCAAAACCGACGATGTACGCCAGGACAAATACCGGCAGCACACACGGAGACTTTCAAGACAGAAACGGAGTGAATTATGTGACATCGACAGAGTCTTTCGGCCACTGCTCTCAATTGTTCTGGAAAAAGGATCCGAACGACTCCGGAGTAAGAAAGCCAGCTGCCACCACCGCTAGCTAGCGAGCCAGTCAACAAATAGCTAACGGAGCAGCATTTTACTGCCTGGCCACCAGGCAAAGTGTCTGCTTTTACACGGGGTTGTTGTTGAGTGTTGAGTTGAATGCAGTTTAGCAGCACTGGTCTGATCTGAAGCTGCAGGTCACGTCCCAGAACCGCTCCGTTAGCTCCCTGCTATCGCACCAGTCGTCATGCTGAGCGGCTCATGGCCTAGTTTGACTCTTAGCTGCCGAGCTAAGTGGCTAGTAAATATCAGCGGCTGCATGTTGTGTCCATCCCACCGTCCTTTAAGGGCTTAGTGAAATTGGACGTGTTTCCCAGTACCGTGGCACTGCTGTGTTGTCTAGAGACGCTAAGGGGTAAGGGAAATGTATATAAAGGTAGTCAAGCATCACGAAGCTAATGCTAACAGCAGACAACAGTGGCTGGCTAACAGAGCCCGTCTGAAACAGAGTGGACGGCAGGGGTTTTGTTTTGGGTCGAACCGCGTATAAAACCGCGCTTTGAAATGTCTGCTCCAAACACCGCGAAGCTTGCGGGAGTAATTCAGGCAGTTCAGGCAGAAGTGTGTGCACAGGGCCTGCAATATTGTTAGCGAACAGCGCAAAGTAAACACGGACCAGGCTGTCCCACAGGAAACGGGAGCGGAAGACGCCCCGCGGAGGACTTTGAAAGACCTCTTTGTGATGCCAGACTGTACGGTTCATTCATGGTCGCCCTCAGCCGACAGATTATCTGCACAGCGCACACACACACACCCCCACACATTAATTTATATGTTTAAGCATTTTTCTGCACCCGAACGACGGCGGCCTCACAGGCTACTTTTATGTCAGCTATCACACACATGCAAGTTGAATGAAGGTTTAATTCCAGTGCGTGTGGCGGGCGGGACTTTACTGGGTGTCCCTCATCTGAAGTTCCTCCCGTCAGTCTGTTTAAAGCCAGGTGTATTCACAGGCTGCGTCTTCACATTGATCATTTAACGTGTGTTTCTGTACCTGGGGAAAGGTTGCTGTGTGCACGGTGTCTCCTTTGTAGTTGATGTGTACAAACAGCACTCTTTATGTACTGTGTCAGGAAGGGGGTTTTAAGCAGGTTCTTTCTCGACGGTTTCTGCCCTTTTTCGGAAACTTCTGTAAGGTTCTTCAAAGGTGCAGTGCCAGACGTTCATGCATGACATTTATATGAAGTAGATTTTTGCTATTTGTGGCCAGGAGAGCTCAACGCATAGCTGCATCTTGCAAATCTGACAACAACGCAACGTAAAGAAGCATGCTGCAAGTCACACAGCACTGGATGTTTCCAAGGGGGCTTTAAAAAAAAAAAAAATTTTGCAGAGTGTTTCTATGTGGCATGTATACTCAGTGGCCGCATTATTAGGTACGCCTGAAAAGTCTAATGCAATTTAATGCATCAGCTCGGCCGTAAATTCTACCTTAACACAGATATGTTTGATTTCGATTGGCACTGTCAGCGTCATTTGAGCTACGTTTATTATTGAGTGGTCAGGGAGTCTGTGTGTAGTTAAAGTGATGGAGATGTCCTCTTTTTTTTCTTTCTTGTGTTGTCCACGTGCACTTGTTTTCTTCGGTTACACTGAGCACTCAATCAGCATAGCAAAGAGACGCGTACAAAGAATTAAGAAAGTATTTTCTGTTGATACAGTAAAATGATCCCGTCCCATTAAGAACTTTTTCTCGAACATATTCATCTGCAGACATGTAGTGAGAAGCTTTTGATTGCACGCTGGACACTGGGTGGTGTAGGCTAGAGTTCTGCTTCTGTCCACGGCTGTGTTTGATTATCTAAAAATGTAATTTATGAATTTCTCTCCGTCTGTATGTATCATCTGGGTCCAATGTGTTTCATTAGCCTGGCTAGCTTATGGTCAGTACTGGATTAACTGTAATAAAAAATAAAGTGTTGGGTCTCACATTTAGCAGCTTCAGTTTTGGTCAGGTTGGGTCTTAAATCTGCTGGTACTGGCCGGGTTTGGGTCTTAGGCCCACGCACATCTCTATTGTGGGCACAGTTGCTGTCCGTGGTGCTGACCTTTCGTTTTCTTTAAAGCTTTACTTACGGGTCAGTTTCACCTGACATGTCTTATAAGTGTCAGAGGGCTCTCTTTATGACAAGGTGTGAGGTTATTCTATGGCTCGCAGATGTAAAGCCGTGATTTATGTCCGAATTTTATCATGCACCACAAAAGTTTACTCACCACAGCAGAATGACGCGTCGCTATCTCTATTCCGTGTGTCTTCTCTGGAAAATGATAAAATAGTCAGCCATGAAAGCGTCGCTGCACACACATTGACTTGTTACCTGCTGTAGTACTCTGCTCTAACATATTCTCTCCTCTGTGACAGCCGAGTTCGACCATCAGCTGGTGCGATCAGCTCCCTTCGTCCTCCGCAGCACTCTCCAGTTCCAGTCTCTCCTCAGCGTCACTCTCCAGCTCCAGTCTGTCCTTGGAGTCCCGAGCGCCGCCACCGCCGCCGGCGACGACGGCGTCAGACGACATGGAGTCGGACGAGAGGCCGTACGTCTGCGACCTGTGCACCTGCGCCTACAAGCACGCCAGCTCCCTGCTCAACCACAAGCTCACCCACAAGACTGGAGACTTCAGGTAGGCACTCGCACTTTCTACAGACGATTCAGATTTTCCAGCCTTTTCAGGTAATGTCAGGTAAATATGCCAAAATGTTCTTCTACCACCTCACTCACTGTAATTGGAGAGCGTCAGGTCAAAGGTGTCCCTGTTTGCCTCTAACTTCCACGCTACTTCTGTCTCCAAAACTCAGGTGCGACTTCTGTAGCAAGCCCTACACCAACTACATGTCCCTGCGCAACCACATGCGAATCCACGGTCAGAAGCGCTACATGTGCGACCTCTGCGGGAAGGCCTTCCGCTTAGCCCGGTACCTCCGCAACCACCAGAGGATCCACGACGACGGGCCCAACCGCTTCGACTGTCCCTCCTGCTGCAAGAGCTACAGGACCATGCTGGAGCTGGCCCAGCACCGCTGCACCGCTGCTGCAACCAACCAGGTGTGTGTGTGTGTGTGTGTGTGAGACGGTGCTGTGGATGATGTTGGGCTGCATTACTAATATAACAATTCTGTGAGAGTCATTCTGCAGCGAAACAGGTGAGAACTTGCATTTTTGGTATTTGTAATGAGACATTTAAATGTAGGACGTTTTGTTTACATAAATGCTTCCTGAATGTGACTGATGCAGCGATCATGTTTTATGATTGACAGTTTATAGCAGCTGTTCCTCTATAAGGACTCCCCTTACTCATTTCTTATTTCTAAATAGTCTGTAGTATAAGTATAAAAAGTCTGAAATTGTAAACCAGTGAAATCAATTAACAATTCTTAGTGTGTTAACATTTAAATGTGTGTGTATAATGTGTTAGCACAAGGTGACATAGTTAGACTTCGCTGTAGTTGTTGACAAACATCACTCAAACTGGAGGAAACTGGAGACCTGACTATTTCCACTGGGCATTAATGCACGCACACACAAAATATCACCGGACAAGAATAAATGTTCTGCACGTCAGAACAATGCAGTGGCTGGTTCTGAAATGACAGTTACATTCATTGTCTAACAAACCTCTCAGCTGTTCAGTCTTTACATGGTGGAACACTTTACAGGATTTAATAATTCATCTGATACTTTAATTTACCCATATAATGATTAAATATGAATCAGAAACATTGAAATAACAGCTGTAGCTCCAAAACCTTATTTTTCACAAGCTACCTGATCTAAATACAGGAGGTCCTGATTCAGTCACAGTCAAGTGTCACATGCTCACAGGCAGTTCTCTTCACCTGACAGCAAGGTACCTGCCAATGTCCTGCATGGACAGAGGGCTGAACTGGGAGCTGACAAATCAGGATGCGCCTCTAGTGTGATGGACCGAGGCCCTCAAGGCTCTTGGTCTGAACGGTTGATAAGTTGCATCCACTAAAAAAAGCTCTGCCTGAGCCACCATATTTTAATCAGAGCTTTCCTTCAATCATTCAGTGAACAAGATCTGGTAATTGTCTCCTCTCTGTCACATCACCCTCCAGCACTCTACCAGAGGGCTGTACTTTCTCACCGCACAGCACGCCATGTCTCCAAGTCTGCTTTAATAGAGGTGGTGGGGGAGTGGCGTGCTTTACCCTGAACGCGGCAGAGAGCTTGAGTGGCAGTATAGAAAGCGACAGTGACAGCATTTTAAACTTTAATGTTCAGGTTAATATTAGATTGCTGTGGTCCTGCAGCAGTCTGTTTTACCCGCTCAGCTCAGTGCCGTCAGGTCAACGTTATTTATATAGCACATGTCATATGCACATTTAACACTTCATGTGCTTTAAAATAAAAAAATGCAACAAAAAAACGCATGAGAGATGGTATTACATGTATAACAAAACACTATGAAAAGTGAATACAATATGATGCTGTTGTTATTATTATTATTATTGTTATTATTGTTATTATTATTATTATTATTGAAAAGGGAATACTGATTCTAAAATAAAAGTGAGAGTCAGACCATAATAATAACTAAATGCACCATAGCTGATTTGTCTGTTAGTGTTGGCTGTTATTCTCAGCAGACGTTAAGTCAAAATCCCTTCTGAGAAATATGTGTAGCAATTGCTACAAACTACAAAGAGCAAAATCACTTCCTAAACGTTGGCGTCTCATGTCAACAGCTTCCCTGTTGGGTACTATGAATCTGTAAAGGAACTGCACTGTTAATGCCACTAAATGAACACCGTAATAGAGCAGTTAATTGTGTGGGCCTGTGTGTGATGGTGTGAGGGGGAGTGTTGTGAGCTAACACCTTGACTCGGTTACAGTCTGAGGCTTTGCCGCGGCTGGATCGATGCTCTGTTCTGCTCTTTGTTGAGAGTGTGTGTGTGCAGTGTTTCATCTCTGTGCGAGGCTCATCTGTGGGGGTGAAGCGGGATTTCTACAATACATTAACTGCATGTAATCAAGATGGTAATTAACATAACTGCAATTAGGTAGTGATGCATAACAAAAACCCACAGCACACAGTCTCTGCCCCCTCCCTTTGTTAATTACAGCTCCCCTCACCTGTACACCAAACATCGAAGGAGCTTAAAGAGGTTAGGAGACCCCGCAGGCTGAGTGCACTGCTACAATGTGAGCTACAAGATGTGTATCCAGGCTGCAGGGTAATCTGCCTGCATAGAAACAGAAGTAAAAATCCCATTCATGTTCTCCATAGAAGATGTTCCACGATTTACAGTTGGAACACAGTTGCAGCTTGGATCTCTCGTGGTTAAACCTAAACAAAAAATGAGTAACTAGGAATCTGTAGGTGCATCTGGCAACAAGCAACCAATCAGATTAGGGATGCACAATTAATGGAAATGTATCGAAATGGCAATTTGGCCATGTGTATATCCAAACATATATTGTCTTCAAAAGATAAAGCCAAAATGTGAGACAAAATAGCATGATAATGAAGTACTGTAGCTCTGAAGAGATGTCCCAGTCTACCAATATTGTTCTCCAGATTTAAGAAACATGTTTGTCAAAAAATGTCACATCATCTTGATTTTGATTAAAATCTAATTTGAGACAAGAACGATCATTCCCACACTAATCTCAAATCCTATTGCAATATCTGTCAAAATAATGGCAATATGGTGAATATGGCACTTTTGATGAAACTTCAGGTTCAGCAACTATGGCGCCAAGGTTTGATTTCCAACAGCAACAGCTAGGTGTTTTGAATTTGTTACCGCACTGATTCACGCCTCTAAATTAGCTTCCTCTCTATAGCACTGGAGGCTGTGTCTTATGGGTATTGTAACATTTAGAGCCCTCTGCTGCGCCACACTGACAGAGAGAACATCTCAGAAATAAAAATGAAATAAATAATTAAATTTCAAACTGGTAGCCATGACATAAACTTTTTTCATAGAAACACAAGACTAGAAAATCTCTATGTGAAGTAACACTGAGGTTAAATCGAAAGATGCCTTTTTAAATAGGAATTCAGAAGAGGGAAAAACACCAGCAGCTTTTCCCACTTGGCATCTCTCAGTGAGAGTTTAAACTGCTCTTCACAAATATCTGGCAGCAGCCCCGTTTGTCCATTTGTGCGCCAACAGGAACAATTATATTAATCCCTTTAACATTTCATAATGGAATAGACATTATGTTTGTGTGGCAGGCGTGCTAAAATTCTGTGTGCCACAGACGGCCATATGTTGGAGAAACACTGCTCTGTGTGTGTGTGTGTGTGTGTGTGTGTGTGGAGATATGCATGTGTGGCAAGGCATATTTTGTTATTTGCTTTATGAAGTGTGCATGCAACAGTATGGCACATTTTTCTTGACCCTCTGTCCTCTCTCCAGCTGCAGTCTGTTGGGAGAAGTGTTGCCAACCCTCCTGTAGTGAAAGCATGCTGTGCAGTTAGGGTTAGAGCAGGGTTAGGCTAAGTTTAGGGAAAGGGTCAGGGTTTAGACGTTAGGGAATGAATACAATTCAGTGGATTTCCCTTACAAGTATAGTAATTCAAATTTATGTGTGTGTGTGTCGTCTGTGTGTGTGGTGTGTCTGTGTGTTGTGTGTGTGTGTCTGCTGTGTGTGTTTGTGGGGTTGGTTCATAAGAACCGGTTCAACTGCCCGTCCTGCTTTAAGAGCTACCGAACCATGCTGGACCTGGCCCAGCATCGCTGCAGCGCCGCGGCCAAAAACCAGGTTGGTGTGAGCGTGAGTGAGCATGTTTTTTTTTTTTTTTTTTTTTTCGGTGTTGTTGTGTGTGTGTGTGTGTGTATCTGAGGCAGTGTCAGTGTCAGCAGATTGAATCATAGCTGTGAGTAAGGGCCAACTTGTACAGGAGCTTTAGATGTGATGGTCAGGAACCGACTGGTACTCTTCTGATGGTCTCTGCTGTAAACTGCTTTTATGCTGCTTTTTGACTGTTTTCCCATGGTCCTGTCCTCTGTCTCAGTGTCACTGCACTGGTGGCAGTGTTAACTTCAACATAAAAGCAAAGGGAAACTATTGATGGCTGTCACAGCAGGTGTCTGACCATTGCATCTAAAACTCAAGGACAAAATAAAAACAACTTTTTAAATAATTCCAAGCTCATCAGAGCAAAACCAAATCTATTTCCCTGCAACTTTGGTCTTATTTGTCTATATTGACCACCAGCTGGAATACCATCTGGGCTAAGTGGGCAACTTCCTCAGGTCCCAGACCTCCAATGACTACATGCGTAATCTTGAGGTGTGCT